CAATAAAAGGCTTGAGCTACTTCAGTTGGTGTGCAACGAATCTAAAATATATGAAAGTTTAATGTTTATCAGTACATTACAGAAAATAATTAACTTAATCACAATATGCTAATTTTTTTTAGAAGGACCTGTTTTTTGGATGCTTTTGGAAGCTTGCGTTTAAAGATTACATTTAATGCAGCGTCCCTGAGAATTCGAAGGATGGATTCTGTTCCTACCCGTCCAATCTCAGCTGTCCACGAGACCACGATGGTGTTGGGGACTGTGGTGGACAATCTGACCAGTGAGGTAATGTTGATGGGCCGGCTGGGTCGCTTGGGCTCAACGCCATTTTTGGTTGGAGGAAGATAACCCTGAAAAACAAACAAACATTAGAAGCTTAAAGAAAATCGTTTCTGTAAACTAAACCAGCTGGGGGTTTGCTGGGTGATGCAGCTCACCGGCAGGTTACACGGCTTCCCGTTGACTTTCACACACAGATTGGGAGGAAAATGGTCTTCCTGAGGACAGCTCGTCTCCGACAGGCAAAACCGCAACTGAACTTGAACGGAGAAGTCACATTTGGTCCCAGAGATGTCCCTTTAACAGGAAAAAACAAACAATATTTCCATTTAGGAATTACTCGTGGAAAGAGAAAGGAAGAAACTTCAATCTTTTGCATTTGACGGAGCGTTTTGTCTCACATTGAGCTGCTGATTTGCTGAACCTGCTGCGGCGTTAACGCGAAGGCAAAACACGTCTCCTGAAACCGCTGGCTGGTGTCTGAAGCTGAAGAGACAGAGAGGAGAAGGAGGAAATGTTTAATAATAGAGATGTATGTACACTCCTCACTTTTTATAAATACTTTATCATAACTTTTCATGGAACTGGAGTGAAGATAAGACACTGATACAATGTAAAGTAGTCAGCGTACAGCTTGTTTTACAGTGTAAATCTGTAAACCTCTGGCACCAAAAGTGTGTTAGGGTGTACTTGTGAAATATTGTGTATATGTGTGCAAAAGTCTTCAACCACCTTCTAGTCTTTTAAAATGGTTTTGGTATTTAAGATTTCTAAAAAAACAGTTTTTCATTAGGCTTTGGTTAGGGTTTGGTTGCTGTTTTACTTGTTTTGTTGACAAAATGTTCGCATCTCAAGGTAAAACTGGCGAACAATCAAAGACAGCAAACAGTTAAAGAAAACAATGGAAAGGGAAAAAAATGAAGAAGTGTGTGCACAGCAGTATATCATAGATAATAATCTATTAACTGAAGTATTATTAGGTGGAGCTTTTATGTCTTGCTAAAGAGCACCTGGATGTTAAGAACTAGACCTCACACCGAGGTGAAGATGAAAATGTGCTCTATTTATAGGCCCACCCACAGGTGCTGGAAATAACTGGTGCTACTAACCCAGCCTTCATTAAAGAGACAGCAGGTTCATAGAGTCAAGAAAGGTCTGAGCAGGAGGGGAACGCAAAATAACAATAAAAAAATGAATTTCAGGATTTGGAGCTAAAGACGACATGTTTTAAAAACTTTTCTTTTACTTTAAAGAGTGACTCGAGCTTTTTGTGCTTTTTAAAATGTTGCAAAAAACCAAGTTTGCAGCAAACGGAGTTCTCCCCTGCTGAACTCAAAAATATAATACCTCCTAGTAGTTTGGTTCACCTAAATGAAATGTAAGCAGCTACTTCAGAGTAAGCAGCTGACTGATCACAACACACTTGGACTTCAGGTAGGAATGCTTTCAAAACATAAAAGCAAAAATGAAGCACTTTACTCAGCAGCAAATATACAAAATAGAAAAAAAAATCTCCAGGAAGATACCCCAAATGTGTAAAAACATTTATTATTTTTTTGGAAATCCACTACAGTTGATTTTCCCAGAAAGAAATCCAAAGATTGACAGCATCACAGCTAGAGGCACTTAACATAGTTTTGGCAAACTGACTGAAAATATGTATCTGTCCAGAGATTAAAAAGAAATTTCAACATCACTGTTAAAACTCACAAACATGTTGAATCTTGTCAGAATGGTTGACTTTGAAAAAAAAGTTAGTACAAAAAGCACTTTTCACACGTCTGGTGCTGAAACCTCCATTAACTGTTCACGTGGATCACAAATGTCATGATAACAAAAAAGGACCATAAAACTTAATTCAGGTCTGTGTCAGTTTTTACAACAGACAGGTTAAAATTGTGAACTATTTGTTTTTATTCATCCACATGCAGCTGTGAGACCACAGGGTTTAGTTTTGCAGAGAAAATGAAGTGGAATAAAAAAAAGAAATGCTGCAATAATCAAGGATTTGATGCCATTCTGAAATGCGTGTGGTTTTACTTTTAAGCTCTGTCGAGGCAGCACACTGAAAAATAAAACAATAGCAAAAATAACCCATGGAAGCAGAGTACCTGCACACAACACAAACATGCTTGCTCAGTCTTGAAATATTTTATTGCCCAATTTTTTACTTCCTTTATATACATTTATCATGAGGCATTAGTTTAATAAAACTGTTTCTTATTTCAAAAGAGGAACTTCACTCTCAGCAGGAAATGTTTATTTAAACAAATCATTTTAGAGCCACAGGCACCTTTTAAGCCTGGTTTATGCTTCACAAGACGTAAGCCATTTGATCTTGCTGATGTGACTGTGGGATGTTCTTGGTCCCATGAACATTTACTCAAAGGAAAGTCCTTTAGTCCACTTGTTTGGACCAGACAAAAAGTGGACTTTGCTTTTTTATTTTTTATTTTAATTTTTTGGGCACGGTTTGAATTTACGTAGAGCTTTTTTTTTTTTTTTTTTGCAAACTGACTATAATTTATAAACAAAGCCACGTAGGTGACGGTCATTGCTCCCATTGGACAGAAATGACGAGGGTGGGACAGAGCTACAGAGCACAGAACCGGAAAGTACGGTGGTGTTGTTAGCAGCTCATTCAGCGGCGGTTTTGTGATTTTATACTTATAATTTTGGGATGGCGTTGGCAAATGCGTACCGCACCTCTAAGGAGATGAGATGCTCTGCATTTTCTGACCAACAATGGCTCATTGTTTGTAGCGTAATGTTAGCATTAGTGACACTGAAGAGCTAATTATTACCATGACACTTAGCAACTGTAGCTCGTGAAGTCCAAGAAGATGTTTCCTGTAGGTGAGGCCGGTCTTTATTCACACTGGAACGCACCAGAGTTCATTTGGAAGCGGACCAAACAACTGGCCCGAGAACCATTTTTGAGTTGGACTCAGTCCGGTTGTTTGGTCTGCATGAGTGTATTCACACCTGCATAAAAGGTCCGAACCAGTGAGGGAAACAAACTCTGGTCTGTTTGAAGTGAATCAAACGTGTCAGGTGTGAATATACCCCAAGTGTGCCCTTCAACACACGCAACGAGACCAGTCAGAACAGCCATAGAGAGCCACCTGTATCTCCTCGCTGTCTCCTCTGTGGACAAAAATAGTCCAATCTCCTTCCACGCCTTCATTTCTGCATCATCTTTGCTGAAACAGTTGTAAAGATGGCTGTATTTTCTAACAGCCTTGGCCAGCTGTTCCTCAATGGAGCAGTCAAAGTGAAATGAGCGCAGCGTTGCTCCCTTGCTTTTTCTGCATAAATGTGCCCACAAAGTTCCAACCAATCACACAATACTTGAGGAAGATCCTGCAAGACAATAGTTCTGCCRGGGCTTTGTGCCCAGAACCGCTTCTTGAAGGCGATACGAGAAGAAACAGATCATTTTCATCATGCAGTCATGTCAGCGAGTCACAATTTTGGCACTTGTCATCAAGCATCAACCAGATTTTTGTCTTGGTCAAGAAATATGTGTCGTTTTTTTTWATTATCTGTGTGATTATGTTTTACATTGTAAAGAGGCTGCGTCCCTTTGGGAATATTTTGTTTTCTGTGTAGGATGTTGAAYGTTGCTCTTCATGTACAGAACCAGCAATGTTCGTTCATCAGTGTTTCAAAACATCTTTGATTTTCCCAGAAAGCCCATTGTAMCGCCCACTGTTCATCATTTGTGCTCAACATTTGTAACTGTATATCCATGTGTTCTGTGAGCTGCAGTCTGTGGAAAAAAAMCAAGCAGGAGGGTGCTTTCGAACAACAGTCTTCCTCCTCTCCGGGCACACGGGTTATAAATAGAAAGTGCTCTCTCACTCTCTCCCCTCCAATCACTCTAAAACTCACCCCCCTGTCTTTGGCAGTGGAATTGTTTCTGGTGTTTCACTCCGTGTGTGGTTAGAAAAGATATGAGGAGGGTTGATATGAGTGTTGATTGATGTCTTCCTCTTTCTTGTGGTCTCACACAACTTTAAGTCCTTCTCTCACACACACACACACACACGTCAATGTTA